ATAAGTCATTACTCACATGACATAAGTGTTAAGTCACAATTATAAGTCATAAATCTTAAGGAATCTGCATCTACAATAAGTCGTATTAGATCGTTGCATCATTACAGTTCAGCAATTAGATTCAACAATTAAATTCGACAAGTTTGATAAATTCCATGTCATAAATTTTTTGTAAACATTCATATTCCATTTTTAATACGATATAAATCATTTCGATCTCAATATTCTCGATTCAGTTTTTAGGTTATACGAAATCAGTTTTCTCGTAAGAAATAGCAGACACATATTGCTTTTTGGTTGGTCAGTTATAACGTAATCATAAGCTCTAAGTTAGAAGAGATGGAATTTGGCCATCTCCACTCAGTCACGGACTACCGACTTATTACTATCTTATGACGCATTACTGACTCGCTTGCAACTAGCTTCTGACTTCTGATTTATGACTTATGGCTTATTGTAGAAGGCCCATTACAAATTAGAATTAAAATGGATAACGAATTCTTCTTCTGATAATTAGTATTCGGTATAGATATAGTCACATGTTAATATGATAAGTATAAATTGATCCTAATAGAAATTATATAAGAATTAATGAAATTACCAACAATAAAAAAATAAATACAAAAATTCTATTACCTTGTCAAAAATACAAAGGAAGCAACAAGTCCATAATTAAAATTCTTCGAAGTCAATTAATATAAAATATAATTAAAACAGTGTAAGTCATTTTACGGTTACCAGAATATTGTCGTTATGATGTCAAAAGAGGTAATGTAGTTGGAATACAAAATCAAGCGAGGGAAAAGGAGAAAACAACAAGGAAGGAACATATTTAAGAAGCGGAAAGGGAATGTATCATATAGATGTATATCTCGGGCAATGACTCCGTGTCATTTTGTTTGTTTATGCCATGTGTGTTTTTTATTTAATGTGAACCATCTCAGATATTAATCTTTTTTTGTAAGAAGGTTCTATATCTAAGATATCTTAACATTGTCCCACTTAAAATTATGATTTAATTTTAATTTGTGGTCAGTTATTACCGAAGGAGATTTTGAACCTTTATTAATATCTGAGACGTGTTCTTGTAATTTCGTTTTTAATTGTCTCTTAGTTTGACCCACATAACTGGCTTTACAATTCTCATAGGATATCTTATTACAACATTTTTATTGTGTGTGTAATTCAACTTATCTTTGCCTCTTGCAATGTAATTTTTTAGTGTATTCGGAATAGTACAAAATATAGTTAGAGTTATAGTTATAGTATAGGATAAGAAGAGGTTACTTTATTTGTGGAATTATGTTACTAGTCATGGATCAATTTAGATAGGTAGGAAAGGATAAGTGATGGAATGGGTTATGAATGGATTAAGACTTTCTTATGTAAATCAAGTTCCCTTTTTGGCTGTAAAGTTGAAGTGTAATAAAACCTTCTATATATATATATATATAAAAAGAAATTTTTATTCACAAACCTCCACCGACGGAACCAAGCACGAATCTATAACCACTTTCGAGGATTTGTACAATAATACCGCGTTCATCTGGACTCTGCAAAGCAATATTTATCAATTTAGGTAACTAATATTTTTTGAACTGTGTAGCTTATAATTCATGTTTCAGATTTCATAACAAAATTACATTTATAACTTTCTCCTGTTATTTCATGCATTTTTATGTATATATAACGTACATGATTTTATTTTAAAATTTTGTGTATGAGCGCGCGAGCGCATTTCAAATTTTCAATTTAAACGGTACTTAAAAGTACAACTTAAAAATAGAATTAATAAAATTAGTAAAAATCATAAATAAAATACTTGTGTGAATTTTAACACGATTTTAGGTTGTTAAAATCAGTTCAAAATTCTTCCATTATACATACCGATACCGCTTTAATCTCGGCAACACGCTTTGTAATCTGTTTGAAATATTGCTCGGGTGTAATAGCTACAAGATCATTGTATACAATCTTCCTGAAATTGGAAACGAGTTCAATGTATACATAATGTACATGCATATGTATATGTATATAAGATACAATATGTAGCAAAGTGTAGCCATAAAGCATACAAAATGAAAAAAATAAGGTAAAAGTTAAATATAACAAGATACAGTATCGAAGCCACTATCTGAAACAGTACTTAAACAGAGTTCAGTCTGAATATAATTTATCGTGTATCCTTACATCATATCTGTTTTAACATAGGATAAAGAGTTTCTTAGTATACGCAAGGATGGGCAGTATTTGAAATGTATTTAAATACGTATTTAAATACATCTTTGTATTTTGTATTAGGAGTACAAATTAGTTCGGTCCATTTCCCAAAATATGGTTACGGCTTAGGGTGGTCCTTATTTTCCGAACACGGAATTTTTTTAGTCTCATGGTTCAGAATGATTCCTTTTTATAAAAAAACAATCTCTGGAAAATATCAGCTCAATTGGATTATGGCAAAAGGTGCCGAAGGACGACTGATTTTTTATATGTACTGATTTTTAAGATAAATGAGTATTTTACATACAATATAAATCTAATATTAAACATAAATAAATTTCTACAAATCAATTAAAGAAGACTCTCGAAAGTTTCAAATAACAAGAATATAAAGGCTAATGAGAGCTATATTCGCTGTTATTAGTGCGATCATATATAAGATATGTTAAAGAGTAAATTTTATATACTACGTAAGTAGTTCCCCCATAGCGCGTCGAAAATCCTTCGGACTTAAAAACGCAAATCTATATAAAATTCACTCTAACATATCTTATACACTCGCATGCAAAAAAAGCGGTACACTGAAAAATTAGGAAAAATTTACCAAATTTCAAATGATCATAACTTGGTAAATAATAAAGATAAAAATATGTTTAAAAAAGGAAAATAAAGCTTGAAGTGTCCACTTTAAGAATATTTGAACGGCAACTATAAGCGGTAATTTTTTTCAAAGTGGCGGATTACAAAATGAGAAGATGTAAAATTTGTAATCAAAGGTGCGAGTTTGCGACGATCCACGGCGTGAATCAGATTTGAATAAATATTAATTATAAATATTATTTATATATTTATAATTAATATTAATATAAATGTAAAATATACTATCTATTTTAAGATTTTAGATGCCTTTCGGCACCCTTTCCCGTAATCCAATTAATCTAAAATTTTACAGAAATTATTTTTTCATAAAATGAAACCATTTTATGGGGTGAGACAAAAAAATTTTTTTTAAATTTCGATTTAATATAAATAAGAATCACCCTATTACGGCTGTTGTGAATGGTTCATAGTGACAGCTGATTTTGCCGCTTTCAGAGAGGTCAGACATCTGCTAATAATATTTAGTTTATATCGCTTTGAGTTTCATACAAAAACCTTCATTTTTACTATATTTGAAATGTCGAATTTTATGTTAACCAAGCAGCATTTTCGGGAGGTTTTAATTTTCTGCTTTAATTGGAAGAAGAGTGCAGCTGAAGCCCGTCGAATGCTTGTCGAAGTTTATGGCGACACTGCTTCAACTGATAAATCATGTAGAGAATGGTTTCGACGTTTCAAGGATGGAGATTTCAGCGTTGAAGACAAGCCTCGCTCTGGACAGCCAAAAATATTCGAAGACAAAGAATTAGAGGCATTACTCGAAGAAGATCAGAGTCAAACGCAAGAGAAGTTTGCAGAATCATTGGGAGTAACTCAACAAGCCGTTTCTGTACGATTGAGCGCCATGAGAATGATTAAAAAACAAAAAAATTGGGAGCCTTATGAACTGAAACCGAGAGACGTTGAAAGGCGATTTTTCACTTTGCGAGCAGCTGATTCAATGGCAACAAAGAAAAGATTTTTTGCATCGGATTGTAACTGGAGATGAGAAGTGAATATTCTACGACAACCCCAAGAAGAAAAAATACTACACTAAGCCCGGTCAATCGTTGCCATCGACATCAACATCAACACCAAAGCTGAACATTCATGGTTCGAAGATTATGCTCTGTATCTGGTGGGAAAAAGGGTGTTGTTTACTATGAGCTGCTGAAACCTGGCGATTCCATTATGAGCGATCGATATCGGCTGCAATTGATTCGTTTGAGCCTTGCATTGCGACAAAAACGGCTGGAATACGAGCAAAGAAATAATAAAGTTATTTTTCTTCATGACAACGCTCGGTCTCATGTCGCAAAAGTCGTAAAAAAATATTTAGAAACACTAAAATGGCATGTTTTACCGGACCTGTCGTATTCTCCGGACATTGATTACTGGTTGTTCCGAAGGATGCAGCACGATTTGGCAAGTCACCGATTCACATCTTTCGCCAAAATCGAAAATTGGCTCCAAAATTGGATCGCCTCCAAAGACGAGTCATTTTTTCGGGATGGAATTCGAAAATTGCCTGAGAGATGGGAAAAAGTAATAACCAGCGATGGACAATACTTTAATTAATCTGTTCATTCATTTTGTTTTGAAATAAATTTTGAACACAAAAAAAATGGACTGATCTAATTTGTTCTCCCAATATTAAAATACTTTTCTGGAGTATTTTATATTTTAAATTTATTATAAATAACACATCAGATACTCGGTGATGCCTGGGAATCCGGGATCAAAAACTAGAGAGCCTATAATGTGGCGTTCCGATATTCATTGCTCGAATTATATAGTATACGTTACATGCGCTATAGATTTTCAGCACTGGCAATGAAATTGGAACACACCCAAGAAGAGAGTCGCCATGTGATCCGAATTTTTTGATTGGCTCGGGGTGCATGGACTCGAAAAGATTAAAATGACAGGAAGATAAAGCCGCAGCTTGTGCCACTATTATACCGATTGCAGACCAGCACTAACGCGATGTTCATAGCGAGCGATACGCGATATCCAAGCTTATAGCTTTAGAATGAGAACATCGGTAAAGTTCATTCTTCTTTAAATGTATGTTTTAAAAGATATTTTGTATTTAAATATGATTTTAATGTATTTTTCCCACCCCCCTGCATTAAATAAGTTTAAATAAAATTGGGAAAAAGTGTTTTGTATTTAAAAAAGAATAAAAAGCTATGTATTTAAATACATTTTTTGAGTATTTTGTATTTTGTATTTAAACATAGTTTTTTGAGTATTTTGTATTTAAATAGAATTTATTTGAGTATTTTGTATTTCAATATAATTTTTTAAGTATTTTGCCCACACCTGCAGTACACGATATCAATTCTTATTGGATCGCGAGAATTCAAACCGATAAGAACAAGCGGTCTGAACTGAATCACGGATGCTTCTGGGGAGGGAGAATGTCCTAAATCGGACCGTGTTTCAAATCGGACCTTTTTAATTTAAATAAATACAGTTAAGTAGATTTGCGAGCTATTTATAATATAAAGTCCTTATAAGACACCGAACATGTGAACAGCAGTTTGGCAATACTTTGCATGACGTTCATAGAATAGAAGCAAATATGTATTTTTGGCTATCATGCGAAAATTTTTTTAAAAAAGAAAATCCTTGTAAATTATTATTTAAAAGATGTTACAGATTTGAACCAGTAATGCACATTGGGGTCCCAGCACGCCGCGTTCGGCTTGACTCGGCTAAGAGAGCGCAACAGCACGACTGTCTGTCCTTCAGCCTTCGACGCATGCACACTAGCTGAGCGCGAGCGAGAGGGCAGACGCTACGTCACGATCGGACCCTCTCGCTCGTCCGCTTGTCGCGAGCAGCTGAAAATGTTTCTCGGCCGGCTCGGCGTACCGTGTACCGATATAAGGAATGAGAGGACGTTCCATATGACATATAAATTTAAATAAATTTTTGTAATCGTATACCTTTCCCATTAATCCACAATGGCATAAATTATGTCAAAACGCGATAGTTTACGAGATATTAATTGTTTACAATTTCCCATGCGAGTAATATACCTCGTTTATAAGAACGATTTATAAGTACTCTACATGGTCGAGCGCGTAAGATGCGAGACTAGAATACTGGAGATCTTATCTAGGGGATAGGGCGTACCCTGCCTCTGCCGGGCGTTCTCGGCCGCCGGACGAACCGTCTACGGATAGATCTCCGAACACGCACCGCGTTGCTCCGACGAACCTAGGGGGTAGGGTGTTCTCTGCCTCTGCCGGACGTTCTCGGCCGCCGGACAACCGCTGCAGCTTCCTGCACACCTCCGCACCTTTGTTCTTCCTATCCCGAATATTCCTGTCCCGATAACCGGCACTCGAAAGGGGGTAGGGCGCTCTCTGCCTCTGTCGGGCGTTCCCGGCCGTTGGTTATCGGATCCGTTTCCTTCTCTTCTCAACCATCTTCGATTTACGCGTCGCGCCGCGATTCTCTGCTTTGCTGGCGTATACCCGCGTTCCGCAGCGTTGCAAATCGCCGTAATAGCTCGCGACCGTTTGTAAATATCCCGCGCGTTTAGAATTAAGTCTTGTTATATTGTCCGCGTCCGCTTTGCGATTATATATATATTTCTGTTATCCGCGTTCGTCTAGTTCTTCGTCCGTATCACCGTGATTTGCGTCTGTATTCTGTATTATATTTTCTTTATGTTATATCTTCGTGTGTTATAATATCTTCGCTTTTGTTGTAATAAATTGTGTTCGTCATCAAACAATCACTTTTATATTCTTTCTTTTCTTCTGCGATTTCCGACTTATCACGTATTTCCGAAACACCGATCCGACGCGAATACTCCTCCCGCCGAACCTTTTTTATATGCATTCCCGACGAGCTAGTCCGAGTATAAAAATCAGGTAGTTACAAAGTGATCTATTATACCGTTATATTGAAATGACTTTCATGTGATCTTGAAGGACATCGTAAAGGTCAACTTTGAAATCTTAAATGGAAACACCTATTTTCTAACAACAAGTAAATAAAGGCCTAATGATGGTCAAGCAAGGATTTAGGTTGCTAAAGTAATGTGTGAATTTTATATACCACGTATGTAGTTTCCTTTAATCCCGCGCCGAAATATTTTCAGACTTTTTACAAACGCAACTCTAAACAACTACCGTAGTAATATCACTTAGTTAAATTGACAAGCAATCTAAAAATATTTGGTGTTAATAGCATCTTATTGGATCTTAATAATATGTTGAAAGACATATATTAAAATTTAACGATTTGTTATTAATTAATGTAAATTAAATTAATAATAAATCAATTTCTGTGAAAAATAAGATTGCGAAGAATATCACAAGTTGGCGTTTCGTCCCGGTTTCCATTACTAGACTCATCAGTAAGGTATTATAATGGAAATCTACCTTAGACGCCTGGGGGAGATATTAGAAAGAAGTTCTATATAAACGGATACTTGTGTATCTTAGCACTTGCGAGAAATAAGCAAGCGTAACTATAAGACCTCTGTAGGCTGGTCGACGTGGTGATATTCTTTACAAAGCTTCCGTTTTTAAGTAATTAATAACGCATTTTGCAGGCACGTTGATTCTAAAATTACAATATTAGTAATTTATTTACTTGTTGTTTGAATACTAACGGTCCTACGCCAACTTGTGATATTCTTCGCAATCTTATTTTTCACAGAATTTGATTTATTATTAATTTAATTTACATTAATTAATAACAAATCGTTAAATTTTAATATATGTTGTTGGATAAAGAACCTTGTATTCTTTCGCGTTAAGTGGAACGCTGTTTTCTCGTCGACTGAGATTTGTATCTCGTGCCTTGTTGGCGTTGCAGTAACCGATTATGCAGGAAAGTAAAGGAATACTAACAACTGATTTGCTAAACCTTACTTTAATGCGTCACAGCATAATACAATTTTCACGATGACCGGTTCAGTACCGGACGACTGTACAAAAGCACGTTCATAACGTGACTCCCAAACGTAACTAACTGACATCTTGAAACAAAAACCGCCGAATAACAGAGGTCCGCACGCAAGGCCCCGTAAATCCTAGTAGCGCCACGGAAGCGCTCACAAGCTCTGAGACAAGTCGGTAAGACCACGCGAGTGATAATGATAAACGGAATATGCAAAACGAAATAAGTAGCATTAGAAGCTAACATATGTCTTTCAACATATTATTAAGATCCAATAAGATACTATAAGCATTAAATATTGTTAGATTGCTTGTCAATTTAACTAATTGTAAGAGACATTGAAAGGCGAAAAACCACCTGTGAAATTCTGTTTGCTAGACAACAAAGAAAGGAGTTTTTGCATCGAATTGTGACTGGCGATGAAAAGTGTATCCATTTCGATGACTTCAAATGCCGAAAAATCATTTGCGATTCAGGCCAACCATCGACATCGACGCCAAAACGCAATATTAATGTGATGAAAGCCATGCTCTGTATTTGATGGGACCAGAAGGGTGTAATCTACCATGAGCTATTGAAATCTTGTCAAACAGTCACAGAAGATCTCTATCGAGAACAAATAATCCGTTTAAGCCGAGCATTGCGCGAGAAACGACCAGAATATGAGACAATACAACATAAAGTGATTTTGTTTCATAACAACACTCCATTTCACGTCACTAAGGCTGTTAAGGAAACATTGGGAGTACTTCGCTGGGAAGTCCCATGCAACTTATTCAACAGAGTGTGCCCCTTCCGACTACCACTTGTTTCGGTCGATGGCACACGCACTTGCTGAGAAACGCTTCAATTCTTATGAAGACGTTGAAAAATGGGTCTCTGACTGGATAGCCTCCAAGGATAAGTCATTCTTTCGCCGCGGAATTCGCTTTCGCATCGAAAAATAGAAGTTACAACTAGTGAAAGTGTTTTAGACACTACATATTTTTAAAAGAAAAACGAATTCCTGTTTTATTATATTTGATATTAGTTTGTCACAAGGGTCTTCGTATTGCTTTCCCAGTTTTTCCGATTGTGAAAGTTATTCATCAAGTTAAAGCAGTATAAAGATAACTAACCTCTGTAAGGTAAGCGCGAGAGAGAGAGAGAGAGAGAGAGAGAGAGAGAGAGAGTGTGTGGTGTCGTGAAAACAAATTAATTTAAATTAAAGAATAACTCTATGTCCTTGATCGCAATGAGTGCCCCTCGTGTGCGTTCGCGTCGGACGGTGAGTACGCCGCCCCTGCTTACCTTCTGTTCGCGGATCATAATTCGCTAACTTTATCTTTTAATAATTCAAAAAGTAAGCGTCAGATAAAATTTTCGTAAAGGAAAAATCGTCTCAGAATTCAGTCAGGAACACGTCCTTGCAAGGACACGAGGTCGTTCTGAATCACCCTGTATAATAAGTAGGATATAGAAGACTGTTTTCGCGATGGGCCAAGAATGTACCACTCATCCACTCCCCAAAATACCACTTTTCCTTTCAAATAGCATCTACTTAAAAAGAGATATCCCCGGGGTAGCAAATCAATATCAGTGCACCTTTTGTCGTGATGAAGTGTACGACATGTTGTTCACGAAACGTTGGCTTTAAAAATGAACGGCAACACGGCGATAACTCGCAAACCTTCTGATATAATTAATTTTTTATTGCGAAAAATATTACCTCGGCCGGAAATCGAATCCGAACATCGGTTTGAATTCTCGCGATCCAATAGGAATTGATATCGTTTATTTACATCGCTAAATAAGCGTTATACTTATACAGATTATTGCAAAGAATATTACTAAGGCCAAAGTAATCTAAAGATTTAGGACGCTTACACGGAGTATAAGAGATTCGGGTTCAACTCCCAACCGAAGTAATATTTTTTGTAATGAAAAATTAATTATTTACAGATTTTAATAGGACATTCAACATTATCAAGATCGATATAAGATGCGTAGACAGTATAAAAAAATTGATAAATTGTTAATCAATTTAATTAGTGATATTACTGCGGGGTAGTTTATTAGTGTTGCGTTTCAAGTGTGAAGAAATTTCGGCGCGCAATCAAAAATTTACGTACATAGTATACATATAAATTCACACGCAATTATATAGAAGCACCCGTGATCTAGCTTAGACTGTTACGGCTTGTTCTCATCGATTTAAATTTGTTAATATGCTCGTAGCAAATATTGTATATACCATCATCATAAGATATTGAAACAAGTAGATGAGGATAAAAATATTAAGATATGCATATACATATACGTACATAAGTCTGAATGAGTAGAGTGATGCTACATTCATAAATATCACTTAAGTTGCCCCACGTATCATTTTATGCTTGTGTGTGTGTGTGTGTGTGTGTGTGTGTGTGTGTG